CTCTCTTTTATAATCTCTGAAAAGAAAAGCTTCTTTGAATTTTTTTTGTCTGTCTTGTTTTTGTTTTTGCTTTGAGACAGGTCTTGCTATAGAGCCCTGGCTGGCCAGGAACTCAGTATGTAGCCCAGGCAGGTCTTGAAATTGCGCTCTTCCCCCCTTAGCCTCTGCAGTGCCGGACATGCTAGGATTTCAGGCATGGACCACCATGGTTGGCTAGAATGCCGCTGCTTCTTTTTTTTTAATAAGGAACATCAATTTATTTCTCAGAGTATGAAGCTGGGAAGTCTAACATCAAGGTGCTGGCAGATGAGCTTTTGGTGAAAGCCCAGTCTCTGCTTCCAAAATTACACTTTGAGTGCTATGTCTGTCCTCATATGGTGGACAGCAAAAAGGTGGAATACTTCTTATAATCAGTGGTTATGTTATAACTGCTCACGGGTAGCATGTGATAGAATTGTATAAAAACCTTCCAATGATCCTTTCTAGTTAGAGGAAGTTGGAGGTATAGCTCAGTGGAAGAGCACTATTTAGCACGCACAAGGCCCTGGGTTCAATTCTAGAACCAAAAAGGAAATAGTTATCATTCTTTTTTTTCATCTGCATAATCTGCACAAATGTATATAATTTATGTAACTTTCTACTGTAAACTAAATTCCCTCACCGCTGGGAATGTAGCTCAGTGGTAAGCATGCAGAAGGCCCTGGGTTCAATTTCCAGCACCACAAAAAATAAAATTAAATTAAAAAATGGAAGACAAGTACATTAAAAGTGTTAATAATCATCGCCAATGTCCAAAAATTTATGCTCAGAATGGTGAATAAAAGTGCCTAGTTCCAACAGCGAGTCTTAATAGCCATCTTTTAAATATTTGTTAATTTCAAAGATGTTGTATGTTAAATCACCTCGAGATGTTTTTGAGATAACTATAGATTCATATACACTGAAAAGAAACAATACAGTGAGCCTATTACCTTCTACCCAATTTTCTCCAGAGGTAGCATTTTCCAAGGTGACAGCACACTATCACAACTAGGATGCTGGAACTAACATTATGATACAAGAAATAAATATACTCTGTCTTTGTCCCTAGTTACTGGTACAGAGCTTATAAAATTCCTGGAATTTCTTGAGTGACAGAAGCATCTTTTATTGTCTATTAAGTTCCTTTCACCATCCCAGGAATTTATAATAATGAGATAACTACTAGTGGATCCTTAAATAGCTTCAGGACAAGGTCTAAGAGCCAGAGAAATGAGTATGATTAATGGATTGGAACTTTCAACTCCACTCTTTCAGTTCTGGGGAGGAAAATGGGTTGGAGCTTAAGATCAATCACCAGTGACCAATGATTTCACCCATCATGCCTATGTAACAGAGCTCCATAAACACTCCTAAGCAATGAGGTTCAGAGAGTTTATGAACACATCCAAGTGCCAGGAGGGTGGTGCACCCCAACTCCCTGGTAAGTTGGAGAGCTTCACCCAATGTACCTCCTCATCTCACTGTTCATTTCTATCCTTTATAATAAACTAATACTATTATAGCATATTCCTCAGTTCTAGAAGTTGTTCTAGGAAACTATCAAACCTGGATATGGCGGGGTACCCCCAAATTGTAGCCACATGAGACAAGGTGTAGACAACCTGAGGACTCAATACGTGGGACTAGCATCAGTCTTAAGTGTCTGAGCCCTTAAATGTGTGGAATCTGATACTAACAACCAATAATGTTGGAACTAAATTAAACTGCTTAGACAACCAATTGACATCAGAGTCAGACAACTGAAGAATTAGTTGGTGTTGGAAAAAACATCTTAGATACAATCCTGAGTCTTACTCAGATTTCCCCAGTTTTACCTGTATTCATTTGTACAATCAACCACCACAGTCAAAACACAGAACAGGTCCACCATCACGAGGATCCTGCATGCTACCACTTTCTTCACATACCACTCCTACCTCCTCCTCAATCTCTGCTAATAACTGATTTGCCCTCATTTTATAGAACTTTATCATTTCAAGAACATTACATAATAATATTTGCTTTGGAAGCCAGGTGCTGGTGGCTCACACCTGTAATCATAGCTACTTGGGAGGCTGAGATTGAGAGGATCAAGGTTTGAGGGGAGCCCAGGCAAATAGTTTGAGAGACTCCATCCCCAAAATAAACAGAAAAATTGACTGGAAGTGTGGCTCAAGCAGTAGAGTGCCTGCTTTGCAAGCATGAAACCCCGAGTTCAAACCCCAGTCCCACCCAAAAAAAAAAAAATTATTTTACAAATTATATATTTGATATGGAATTAGTATACAATTTAGCAACAACAAAAAAAATCACTCAATTTAAAAAAGGCAAAGGATTTGAGCAGTCATTTCTCCAAAGAGGATATACAAATAGCTAATAAACACATGAAAAGAAGCCCAACATCATTAGACATCAGGGAAATGTAAATCAAAAGCACATGAGATACTTCATACTCACTAGGAGGGCTATACTCCAAAAGAGAATTACATGTCTGGCAAAACCACAGAGAAAAGATAAAATGATGCAGTTTAGAAAGACAATTAGGCACTTCTTCAAACACCATACGACCCTGCAATTCTACTCTTTAGGTATTCACCTAACAAAAATGAAAGTACCTATTCACACAAAAACCTGTATACAAATGTTCATAGTTATCATTATTCATAAGTAAAAAAGTGGAAACAAACCTACTATCCATCAACTGGTGAAACTGCAATGAAATGACTTGGAATGGCAATAGAAAGAAATGAAATACACGGACAAAACAGGTGAACCCTGAAAACATTAAGCTACGTGAAAGACCGCAGTCATGAAAGACCACACACTGTATGATTCCATTTTATAAGAATTGGGCAGAATCTGCAAACATATAGAGAGACAGTGTAGATTGGTGGTTGCTAAAAGCTAGAGAGAATTTGGAGTGACTGCTCATGGGCCCAGGGTCTCACTCTAAAGACAAAAAAATGTTCTTAGATTGCGATGGATAGACTCTGAATATACCAAAAACCATCTATCGGTACACTTTTAGTGGGTAAAACATGTACTGTGTGAATTATTCATCAATAATATTTTTAATTTTTCTGTGGCACTGGGGTTTGGACTCAGGGCCTCATGCTTGATAAGCAGGCGCTCTATTGTCTGAGCCACTCTGTCAGCCTCAACATTTTTAAAAAGAATGTTCCATAAGTGGAATTATAAAGGGTACACAACCGTTTGGGATTAGCTTTTTTCACTTAGTTTAATTATCTGGATCAATCCACGTTGCTGCACATATCAATACTTCATTCTCACTCCTTTTAATTTCTGAGTGGTATTCCATTATACTCCAGTTTTTTGTTTGTTTTTGGCGGTACTGGGGTTTGAACTCAGAGCTTCATGCTTGCTAGGCAAGAGCTCTACCACTTAAGCCATGCCTCTAGTCTTTAGTTCTCAGTTACTTTTTAATTAATACTGAAAATGAGTACCTTTTAATATAATGATCAAATGATATATTTTTCCTCCTGTGAGATGTGTTTTCCTATCTTTGGCCCCTTTTCCTACTTTCCCTTTTATTATTAGCCTATTATTAATTGTACAGCAAATTATTTTTCCCACCTTAACTTTCCTTATGATGATTTTTTTGAGTGGTACATGAGGCACAGGGCCTCATGCTTGCTAGTCAAATGCTGTACTGCTTGGGTCACACCGTCAGGCCATGATTTTTATAATTACATTTTTTACTTCTATGTAGTGAAATATTCTTCTATATTTTCTTCTAGTCCTTCTATGGTTAATTTTTTTTATGTTAATATCTTAAATAAATCTAAGGAGTTAGGAAACATAAGAAGTTGGCAAGATGAGTCTCTGGGTCTACCAGCAGTGTGATAAAGCAGAACGCTCAGTTGGTTTGCACTCAGAAGGCTTTGGTTCTAGTCTTAGTTATACACATTTCCTAGCTACATCACTCTGGGCAGGCCACCAGTCTGTGGAACCCAACTTTAGTACTTCAAGCAATTACTTTGAGAAATAAGATTATAGATGTGAGATAGATTCTCCAAAAATGTCTAACAGCTATCTCTTTATGAAGAAAATTTAAAAACATTTTACCTACCCACCCCTGCCAGTACACACACGCATGCACATTGGGAGCAGGGGCAGTGGCATATACCTGTAATCCTAGCTACTCAGGAAGCTGAGGTGGGAGGATCACTTGGGCCTAGGAATTTGAGGTCAGCCTGAGCAACATAGCAAGACTTTTTTTTTCCTTTATTTTTTGTTAGTGTTGTTTTTGAGACAGGATCTCACTATGTAGCCCAGGCTGGCCTCCAACTCTTGATCCTCATGCCTAAGCCTCCAGACTGTTGGGATTACATGTATGTGTCCCTCTGTCCAGGAAGACTACAGCTCTAAAATAATACTGTTTCTATTTCACATGCTAATCTGGAACACTCACAAGGTCAGCCATAGAGAAGTAGCTTGCCACATGCAAATTCCTATGCCCAAAGAGGTCAGGTGACTTGCCTAGAGGCACAGGAAGCCTAGGAGGAGTTGGTTCCAGAAGTAAATCCAATTAGCTGTACCTCAACCATTTCCCCAAGTCAGAGAGCAGCATTCTTACTCAGTGGTAGAGTGCTTCCTAGCATGCACAATGTCCTGGGTTTAATCTCCAGCACCACCAACAAAACAAAGCAAACAAAAAAATAAGAGTACCATTCTTCTGATTTAAGACCTGCTAAATGGGTTAGGGGTATAGCTCGGTGGCAGAGCATGTGCTTAGCATGCATACACCCTTGGGTTCAATCAACCCAGCATACACAAAAAAGAACCTACTAAAAATAAGCAGTCACCACTCATCTGTATTTATACCACTACACTAAAAACAAAATATAACAAAAAAGCCCAAAACTCTCTGAAAAATGTAGATCCCACAATTAGGATGTGGTGGGGTTATAGCAAAGAAAGTGAAATGGGAGGGCTGAATTTCAAGTTTAGTCTCTTACCTTGCTTCCGACATCCTGGGATTTTGATAAAGGCTCCATAGTCTGTCACCATGGCAACCTAAAAGACAAAAAAAAAATCTATGTTGTACAAATGAGACTCTTTCTTCTACAACATTTAACCTAGTCTCCCTGAACTTGTATTTGGTACTGACTTGTCTCTGTCTATTATCAAACTGCCTAAAAGTGATGTTCTGTTAGACACTGGGTTTTTTTGTTTGTTTGTTTTTTGTTTTTGGCAGTAGTAAGATTTGAACCAAGGCCTTCCCCTTGCTAGGCAGGTGCTCTACCACATAAGCCACACCCCCCACCCTCTTTCAGTTCTTTTTAAAATGCAGACTGCTGGGGATATGGATCAAATTGAAGAAAGCATGCCTAGCAAGTCTAAGGCCCAGAGTTCAAATCCCAGTACTGCCCAAAAAAAAAAAGTCTTTTTAGACCAACAGATGTATGTGTATGCATTAAAAATACTTGTGAAACTGGAGTGTTCTCATATGGTATGATGATAAACTAGGAAGGCCCAAATTTCACATCTATCAAAAGCATTAAAGTTTAATGAACAAAAGGAACAAGCAGCAGAAACCAGGTAATAAAGTTATATTTTACATCATCTGGGACCGAGGCCCTCATCACAATACAGAGAACTTGACTAGTTTGGGATGGATTGTGTGGAGCATCTGTTTTCTAAACTTCAACCAGACCACAGCCTGCTGTCTTTCAATCCCACTCTTATGTTTTATTGAGACAATTAGAGAAAAAGTCAATACACAGACATCTGACAGAACCTGAAAAGATGTAATCAGAGAGAAAAAGAGTTGTCCCCAGGTCTTTTGTAGAGTTGACCTACCATGGAGAAGGTTAGAGGCTTAAGATTTTATGTAATGAACAAGCAATAGATGTTAGTGATGAAAGGCCCAGAAACCCTGCCAGATGAACTATTATCCCAGGCTCTCTTTTCTTTCACCTTAATCTTCTAGTCTACCCCTCAACCTGTGGATTAGGATTAATGTTGTCACTATATACTATATTCATCACTAAGTTCATTAATATTTACAAAATATTTAATAGTCTTACATGTGTAAAATTTGTTCTTTGCAATGCTTTTAGTTGGCTGTTTCATCTTGAGCAACTACTGTTTGAGCGTCACATAACAAACATAAGTATACTGGACAAGACAGTCCCTGCTATGTGCTCTTCACCAGTACACACTCAACACTCGCTAAATGCAGAACTGGCATTAAAAATCCTCGGGACTCTGTATGAAGTTGGCACTGTTATTTTCATTCAACAGATAATAACTGGTACATGGAGAGATGAGGTAATTTACTGAAGGTCCAAAGCTAGCAAATAGCAGAACTGGATTTCGAACTCTGAATCCTAACTACAATACAGCTGCTTTTGGGTTCCCTTTAAAATTCTAATGGCCAAAGCATTGTAATATCTGGTATCCTATCTGCTCCTGGCAACAATCCCAGGACATATATATGATAGGTTCCTATGTTGCATATGGGTAGAATAGTCTATGTGTAGAAAGAACACAGGCTTTGAAGCAAAAGATGTGACTTTTTTTCCTTGGCAGTACTGGGATTTGAACTCAGGACTTCCTGCTTGCTAGGCAGGCACTCTACTACTTGAGTCATACCTCCAGCCTAAAAGATGTGGCTATGTGGCTTCTAATCCTAGCTCTGCCATTTCCTACCTGTGGAATATTGAATACAACCTGCCTTTCACTGCCTAAGCTCCCATTTATTCTCATTTTGTTGCCACAGATAACAAATATTGTACATAAAAGTGCCTGGCACTAGTATCTGGCACACAACATACATCCAATAATGTGCAGCTTTTTATTTATAGCCCAAGACAGTAAAGCACAAAAAGATTTAGCAACTGGTAGAAAAGTATACAATTTAGATACAAGCTAGGCACAGACCCTGAACCTCCTTCTAGTTCAGTGACTGATTTTAAGTATCATCATTACTCACTTCAATGTAAGATGGAAAAAGAATTAAAAACTTTCATTTTTCTCATTCTTAAATGGGGATACTGAGATAGAGGACCTGAACTGATTTCCAAGACACAGCATGAAGAATGGGTTACAACACAGAAGTTCTAAACTTCTGTTTTCCACTGGTGAACAAGCTATGCTGAAGCAAGGACAAACAGCCCCAAAGAAAGAGGATAATCATGTAGATACTTAAAACTCAAGGCAACGAAGAAGGACTTTAAAACAAGACCATATTCCTTTTTTCTGGACCAACCAAAAGCACATTGACTGACTTTTGCTTCAGGATTCTAGAAAAAGGGCTAAGGAGTCTCAGGTTGTGTAAATGATATTATTAAGGAACATAACTAACAAACTTAACAGTAGCATCTGGAAGTTAAAGCCCAAATCACCTTGCTGCTGTAAATTAAGACAATCTCACTTTTCAATCACTTTTTAAGCTCCATTATAGTCTTTAGAGGTAATAACAGACCTTAATTTGGGCTCTCCCAAAAGGAAAGGTTAATGTGTTCCAGAAGAGAAGCAATCAACTGTTCAGTTAAGAAAAGGGATTCTCGCCTTTTTCCAATACCAGGTGTTTCTATCGCTATGTCTCCTAGGGTATACTCAGTTGAAATTAACAGGATGCCACCTGCTGTAGATGATCACACAGTCTGCCTGGTGTCCCAAGAATAATTACTCAAATGGCTCAGGGGAAAAAATTCAGTAATTATCTCAACTGAATTCAGGTCTTAGGTAAAATTAACTTCCCATCTTCAGATTAGAGGTAGCAATGGCCTTGAAATTTGTTCTCCCCATAATGTAAATGATGAATTTGAGGCTGAAAAACATAAGGTATTTGTTCAAAGTCACAAAGTTAGAAAGCAGAACAGCCACGATGGTGCACAGCTGTAATCCCAGCACTCAGGAGCCTGACGCAGAAGGATCACAAGCTTAAGGCCAGCCTGGGCTACATAGGAAGAGAGCCTGTCTCAGAAAAACAAACACAAAAGAAAGAAAACAAACTTTCTAACTTCTAGTATAATGATATTTCTAGCTCATCAACATCAATCTCCCCTCTGCATTTCTTTGCCTATGGTGAGGCTGAGCCAAATATCAACTCACACTGTTGTGATTGTACCCCTACCACGCTTCATAAATACTAGCAACAAGATGTCTCTGAGGATAACAGAAGGAAGAGTGCTGGCTTCTCAGCTATTCAGTCACTGCCCTCCCCCAACCCCCATTAAGCCAGTTAAGAAAAGGACTGCTAAGATATGAGCTCTACTTCCAATTTCTACAAGGCTGGGGTACGATTTTATTCCAATATTTACACAGCACCTACTATATGCAAGATACCATGCCAAGTATTGTGAAGTAATAACTTTACAAAAGAGAGATGTGCAGCCTATTTTAAAATGAGTATGAAGTAGTTACCAAGATATGAGATAACCACAGTCCCTGCCCTCTAGTAACTCATAATCTATGAGAAGACACATATACAAGTAAAAATGATATGACAGACTATAGAAAATGCTGTAACAGAATTACACAAATAAAACTGAAGAACAACCAGATCTATCATCTACCTTCCTCCTGTTCCTCAACTCAGTCAAATGAATTCTCTCACAGGTCTTTTGGTTCCTCCATGTATTAATGACAATCCCAGCTGCAGAAAGTAGACATGAAGACATTTAGAATCCCAGTTTTGCCCTTTATTAATCATTGGGTGATTACTTAACTCCTGAGAAGCATTTCCCTATCCATCAAAAGGAGTAAATGTGTTGGAGCAATTCAATTGTTATTGAATACTGTGTTCAGAATGATAGAAGCACTAATATACATAGGCTCTCAGCTTTTTTTTTTTTCATTTTAATGTAACTGGTCTTCCTTGTAAATATTAGGCACTTACTAAATGTTCACTGAATGATATTCTGCAAAGCAGACATTCTACTACTTGAGCCACGCCTCTAGTCTCTTGGATGATATTTTGTAAGTAAGTTTCTTGTTTCCAGTTTATCATGAAATTTGTCTTTCCCTAATTCCAAGTCATTTCTAAAGTATCCTTTTACAAAGTGTGCTCCTAAAATAGCAAATTAGAACTAAAAGTTCTCACTGAACATTTTCTCAGACCATCCTTTCTGGTGGTAATATATAAAACCTACACTAATTCAAGGCCCATCTCAGGTAAGAAAAAACTGCAGGTCAGGAACCACCTTAGAAATCTGAGTCAGCCTACAGAGGGCAGACCACTCTTTTTCTGTGCAGCACCTGACAAGGGAGGGCTTCATGACCAGAAAAAAATCAATTTTACCTCCAGTGTCACTACATACTTTTTCTGACCTCTGGTACCTCACTATCCACTTTGAAAATAAGAAAAAAGAACAGAGTTGTTTGCTATTTGTCAGAATGTTACTAGGGTCTCACTATATAGCCTGGGCTGACCTTGAACTTGAAATACTACTGCCTCAGCCTCTCAAGTGCTAGTATTATAGGAATGCATCGCCATGCCTGGCTGAGTTACTATTCTTTGTAGCTTGACTGCTACATTACAAGTTGGGATCAACTTAACAGATGTCAAGAGCCACTCAATTATACATAACTGACTGACAAGAGCACAGTGTATCCTCAAAGACCTCACACATTATTAGGACGTAAAATTTTTGTCAATCATAAGGTATAAATGCCAGAAGAATGGTATATTTAAAATACTGCAGGCACGCGTAAGACACTAAAAACCATTTTGGGGCTTTACTCTCACTTTAAGAGGAGAGAATCCCCAGCACTACAAAACAAACAAACAAACAAACAACAAAAAAAAACAAAAGAGTGAGACATCATTAAAGAATTCATGTCTATCATTTTTATAGATACCTTATTTTTACTCATCACAGTAATACTACAGAAGTAGTTATAACCATTTAACAAATGAGAAAACAGGCTCAAAGATATTAAATGACAGTCTCAAGGATCACATATCAGTAAATAAAAGAGCTAGGACCAGAATCCAGGATGTGTCTGCACACACGTCTTTCCCCTAAAGATCAATCATTTAGTCAGTCACCAAATATATCAAGCTTTTACTATTTTCTACCTATCTACCTGAAACTGAAATGTACAATAAAACAGTCTGCCCTCATAGAGCTTAGTGTCTTATGAGGAAGGGAGATATTAAACAAGTACATAATTAAATAAAGGCTGGACCTATTTATTTATGGTAGGTTAAGGTCTTTGAGAAAATGACATTAGGACTGAGGACTAAAAGAAGTTAGTGGGAAAGTGGGTGACTAGAAGGAACAGTATCTTAGTTGGTTCATATTGCTATAACAAAATACCATAACCTGGATAATTTATAATAGAAACATATGGCTCACAGTTCTGGAGGTGGGAAGTTCAAAATCAAAGCACAGATTTGGTGATAGGGCCCACTCTCTACTTTCAAGATCACACCTTGTTGCTGTGTCCTCCAGAGTGAAGGAACTCCGTGTCCTCACAAGATAAAAGGGACAGGTTAAAAAGGCCAGGTAACTCTCTTGAAATCCTTTTTTAAGGGCATTGATCTCATTCACAAAGTGGTCTGAATGGTTGTACATTCACCAAAATTCACACAGAAACTGAATACTCAATGCAATAGATTTAAGAGGTGGAGCCTTTAGGAGATATATTTGTCAGCTTTCTATTGCTGTCTCAAAATACCTAAAATAAATAACCTAAAAGAAGGAAAAATTTATTTTGGCTCAGTTTCAGAGGTTTCGGTCCATGGTCATTTGTGCCTTTGGCAAGGAAGAACATCCCAGCAAGGAAGGTGTGGTAGAGCAGAGTTGTTTACCTGATGGCAGTTAGGAAGCAAAGACGAAGAGAAAGAAAGGACAGGGGCAAGACATAGCCCCCAAGGGCATGTCCCTAAGGACCCACAGCCTTACCTAGGTCCCACCTCCTAAGTTTCCATCACCTCCCAATAGCTCACCAAATTATTAACCCACTGATGGATTAATCTATATACGAGGTCAGAGCTCTTGTGATCAGATACTTCTCAAAAGCCCTACCTGTGAACACTGCCACACTGGGGACCAAACCTTGAACACAAGAGACTTGAACTTTCAGAACCAAACCATCATAGGAGGTGACAAAGTCGTGAGGGCTCTTCCCTCATGAGTGCCTTATAAAAAAGCAGGATGCAGCAATAAGGCAACATCATGGAAGCAGAGACCATCCCTCACCATGTACCAAACCAGTTCACATTTTAATTTTAGGCTTCCCAGCCTCCAGAATTGTGAGAGATCAAGAAAACTGGTGGGGAGGGCCGTTCTGGGGGTTGAATTCAGGGTCTTGTGCTCGCTGAGCCACTCTGCCACCAAGATGAATTTTTGTTCTTTATAAATTATCTAGTCCCAGATATTTTGTTGTAACAGCACAAATGGACTAAGACAAACAGTGTATGCAAAAGTCTTGAAAAGAAAGTAAGCTGAGAAAGTTAAGAGCTGTAAGGAAGCCAGTGTGGCTGGAGCATGAGCAGAGTAGAACAATACAACATTGTCAGAGTAGACAAGGCCAAGAAATGGAAGGGTCACAAAAATGAGCTTACATTCAAGTAAATTGAGAAGCCTATAAAGAGCTGTGAGAAGGCAGCATGCCAAATCTATTTTAGGGCTGACCACATTATTGGGGTCAAATCTGGGGCCTCTTGCATACTAGTCAAGCATTCTACCACCGAGCCACATCCCTCCAATCTATTTTTAAAATGTAATTCTGATCCAATGTGAAGAACAGACTGAAGAGGGTCTACAATATACGCAGGGGTTCTGATAAGGGCCAAGCAAGAGATGAAGAGCTTGAACCAATGGGGTGCCAAGGTGATAAAGAAGTATACAGACTGGAGCTAGGACCACAGCTCAAGTGGTAGAGTACTTGCCTAGCAGAAAGAAAAAGAAACAAACAAAAAAGAAAATATAGACTAGAGATTAAAATTGAGACTTTTAAATTAAAAAAAATTAAGACTATGGATGAGGGAGAGAGGAATGAGGGAAAATGCATTGCAAGCACATTTGGAAATGTCACAGTGAGACCTCCTGTACTGTTGTATGCTAATAAAAATGTTTAAAAAAAAACTTATGGATGGACTGTAAGGAAGAAAAAATTAAGATCAAATCAAAAAGTGAAATCAAGAATAATGCCCAGATTTCTAGCTTGGATACCTGAATGGATAGAAAGTTCCATTTGCTGAAATAGAAAAGGCTAGAAAAGAAACGGACTTGGTGGAAAAAAACTTCAAAAGTCAGTTTAAAACACAAGTTAGAGATGCTACAAGACACCCAAATGAAGACGTCAAGCATGCAGTTAACGTGTATAGCATGGAGAAAGTGCATGTGGTCACCGAATGCTCCATGGCCTTCCCATTTAAACCATAATGCTCAAGACAGTCTTCACCATCTATTCTTCCTTTTTTTAAACTTGTTTTGTTTTCTTTACTCACCCTTAATCTAGTCTTTTTCTCAATCTATTCTTAATACACTATAAATGGGGGATGGGGGGGGAAGGTTTCAAAGTGCAAAACAAATACCTCTCCTTGGAAAATAGTGTAGAGTGCAGGCAAGTTTTCCATGGTCTCAGGCCTTCCCGAATTCATCCTTAATGTTCTATGGTTCTTCCATTTCTCTTCTGACAGTTAATTCAAGTGTCCTGTCACAAAGAAATAGAAAACAATTAGAGAGACATCTGCATTGAAGAAGAAATCAGTGGGGCTTTTGGTATAGCCGAGTGGCAGAGCACCTGCCTAGCATGATGCATGAAGCCCTAGGTTAGATCAGCAGTACCTCAAAGAACAAAAAAAAACCAAATGTGCAGATACTTCATGTCTAGCTTCTAAAAAATAATACCATTAGACTGAACACCATGTACTTTTATCCAAATCTCTTTTGTATTCAAACCATGGAGAGTTTTGCAAATCTTGACCTCATTTCATTTTGTTTTGTTTTCTTCTTTTTGGCAGAACTGGGATTTGAACTTAAGGCTTCATGGTTGCAAAGCAGGCGCTCTATCATTTGAGCCACACCTCCAATCTATTTTGCTCTGGTTATTTTAGATATGGAGTCTCACAAACTCTTTCCCTGGGCTGGCCTCCAACCATAATCCTCCTGATCTCAGCCTCTAAGGAGCAAGGATTATAGGAGAGAGCCACCAGCACCTGCTTCATTTCTTTTCAATTTGTTATTTACCTTTTAAACTACTGGTTTTTTGTTTTGTTTTGTTTTGAGATGAAATCTAGTTATATTGCTCAGGCTGGCCCTGCACTAGTGCTGAATTCCTGGGCTCCACCAATCCTCCTGCCTCATCCTCCTGAGTTAATAGTTGAAACTACAGGAATGATCACCACACCTGGCTGCGTTTTGTTCTTTTTATTACCATTGTTGATATTCTTTTGCCAGGGGAAGACTTTTGGGAAAGGAGGGAGTATGTGTGCCTGGATCTCAAAACAAGGTATTACAGTAAAAACTTAATATTTCTCAAGCACTTACTATGTCCCAGTACCATGCTAAGCCTGGACATGTAGTATCTCATTTAATCTTCAAAAAACTGTTGGTTCTACTATAATTACATTACATTATATTAAGAAAATCAACCACTCTGGAAAAAGAATTTGGAGGCTTCTTAAAAATCTAAACATTGACCTACCATATGATCCAGCAATACCACTCTTGGGGATATACCCAAAAGAATGTGACACAGGTTACTCCAGAGGCACCTGCACACCCATGTTTATTGTAGCACTATTCACAATAGCCAAGTTATGGAAACAGCCAAGATGCCTCACTACTGACCAATGGATTAAGAAAATGTGGTATTTATACACAATGGAATTTTATGTAGCCATGAAGAAGAATGAAATGTTATCATTCACAGGTAAATGGATGGAACTGGAGAACATCATTCTGAGTGAGGTTAGCCTGGCCCAAAAGACCAAAAATAGTATGTTCTCCATCATATGCAGACATTAGATCAAGGGCAAACACAACAAGGGGACTGGACTTTGATCACATGATAAAGTGAGAACACACAAGGAAGGTATGAGGATAGATAAGACAACCAAAAATCTAGATGCATTTGTTGCCCTCAATGCAGAGAAACTAGAGCAGATACTTTAAAGCAACTGAGGCCAATAGGAGAAGGGGACCAGGAACTAGAGAAAAGGTTAGTTCAAGAAGAATTAACTTAGAAGGTAACATACATGTACAGGAAAGCAATACGAGTCAACTCCCTGTATAGCAGCTATCCTTATCTCAACTAGCAAAAACCCTTGGTCCTTCCTATTATTGCTTATACTCTCTCTTCAACAAAATTAGAGATAAGGGCAAAATAGTTTCTGCCTGGTAGCAAGGGGTTAGGGTGGGTGGGTGGGGAAGGGAGGGGGCGGGGGAAGGGGGGAAAAATGACCCAAACATTGTATGCATGTATGATTAAAAAAAAAAAAATCAAAGCTTCCAGTGGCTAAACTACTAAGATTAGGTGAGAAAGTCAGCAAATGAAACCTGGCATGGTGGCATGCTCCTGTAATACCAGTAATCCCAGCACTTAGGAAACGGAGGCAGGAGGATCATGAGTTGAAAGCTAGCTTAGGTTACATAGTAAGATCCAGTCTCCAAAAAAGAAAAAGCCAGTAAATGGTAGAGTCAAACTTTGGCAAACCACAGAGTCCATACTCTTAGCCATCATGCTAGGAGTTAAATCTGAGGTGACAGAGAGGGGAGGATAAAGGAGAATGAGTGAATGAATTCAACTATGATATACTGTAAGAACTTTTGTAAATGTCACAATGAACCCTCAAAACAATTATATAAAAAAAAAATAAAGATTTTCTTAAAAACCTGAAGTGACTTCAGAAAGAACAAGGAGAGCTCACTTTTTCCTGATAAAATTAAAACACACTTGCTCATTTTAGTTCAGACAATACCTTAATAATGAAAAAAAAAATACTGCCCATAATTCAATTTGGTTTATAGTCTTCAGGATTTTCTTTTCTTCTCAGTGCTAGGGATTGATCCTAGGGATTTGAGCATGCTAGGCAGGTGCTCTGCCACTGAGCTACATCCTTAGCCCCTTTTCAGGCTTTTTTTTTTTTTTTCAGTATTGGAGTTTGAACTCAGGGCCTACACCTACAGCCACTCTACCAGCTTTCTTTTGTGTTCATTATTTTCGAGATACTCTCTCAAGAACTATTTGCCATCGCTGGCCTCAAACCTTGAACTGTGATCTTCCTGATCTCTGCCTCTGGAGTAGCTAAGATTTCAGACATAAGCCACTGATGCCTGGTCACACCTTTTTTTTTTTTCTTTTTTTTAAAACGGGATCTCCCTATGTTACCCAGGTTGGCCTTGAACTTGCAATCTTCCTGTTTCAGCTTTCTGAGTGCTGGGATTACAGGCTTGTACCCCAGAGGACTCATACATTTTTTTTCAAAGCCTACACAGTAATTCATTATCAGATCCACCAAATTTATTTAACTATTTGTGAAATGTGTCAAAATGCAGATTGCAATTCAGTATACAATTGCAATCAGCTGATACACCTGATATTGTACATTTTCAACAAGGTCTCAGGGGAGGTTGAGCGCTTTAGAGGTGGAAGGAACCTTAGAGATACTCTTGCTCAGCCTCCTGGTTTTAAGTAAAGAAGAAACCGGCAATCCAGTGGCTCTTAGCTATACCCCTTTCTTCTGCTGCACAAATCACCGCTAGGTAAAGATAAATCTAATGGCACTGTCCTTGGTTTTCTTTTTCTTTCCAATTTTACTTGATATCAGTAATACCTGAAACTCTAATTGTCTTGGATTTTCATAGGCTTTCTTCTCAACCTCTGCTGTTCCCCCTCACTTCCAGAAGATAATTTCCTGCCCTACTTTTAAAAAGTCTGATTTACAATAACCATCTATTAAGCTGACAGCTTCACTTGAAATGGAAATGAAAGAAAACCCTGTAAGACTTCCAAACCCTTGTTCCCATGTCCCAAGAATGGCTCTGTCCTCAAGTTCCATAGGATAATCTTTTTTGTTGTTGTTTTGGGTTTTCCTTTGTTTTTGAGACAGGGTTTCTCTATATAGTCCAGGTAGGCCTTGAACACATCATCTTCCTGCCTCAGCCTCCCAAGTGCTGGAATAATGAGTGCAACACCACACCCAGCTTCCATAAGATAAATCTCTCTCTCTCTCTCTCTCTCTCTCTCTCTCTCTCTTTTTAAGGTATGAGAGATTAAACCCAGGTCCTCACACATGCTTGGCAAAGACTATGCCATAGAGCCCCTAATCTTGTATCCTTATAATAAACTTGCCCTTTCTGCTTAGGTCAGCCAGAAATGTATATTTTTAATTACAACCACATAGAGCCTGACATGGTGGTTCACACCTATAACCCTAGCACAGAAATCATGGTTTGAGGTCAACCTGGGCAAAAAGTTAGCAAGAGTCCATCTCAATAAACAAGCTAAGCCATGGTGGTTCACACCTGAAATCCCAGCCACACAAAGAGGCATATGTAGGAGGATCGTGATCTGAGGTTTGCCCCTGGCAAAAACATGACACCCTGTCTGAAAAATAACTGAACCAAAAAGGCTGGAGGTGTGGCACAAGTGGTAAGGTGCTTGCCTAGCATGGGCAAGGCCCAGAGTTCAAACTCCAGTGAAAAGGAAGGAAAGAAGGAAGAGAAGGAGGAAGGAAGGAAGGAAGGAGGGTGGGAGGGAGGGAGGGAAGAAGGAAAAAAGGGAGAAAGGGAAGGAAAGGATACATAAAATGGAGGCTGATTTGTCAGATCTTGAAATATAGTTCATAAACAGGTTAATTCCAAGTTTCATAGCATGGTTGAATTCTGCTTCTTCTAGTTCATAGCTAAGCAATTTCATCTCTAGCCCTTCCCTTCCCTCTGTCCAGTATCTCTCATCTCACATCCCAGAATAGGTGGATGGTTCTATTAAGATTCCTTTTTTATCCCTACGATGCTTAAAGCATCAATAGCGAGGTACAGAATCTGTACCAGCAGCTAGGACATATTAAATGAGCTCCATTATCTGTTCCTCTCCACACAAAGTCACGGAAAGAGCAATAAAAACCGAAATAAACCTAAGTTGTTCCTTACATACATATGCTGTGACGAGAGCATAAAAAGCTAAGTTTAAAGTTTTCCTGTTTCCTCCTCCTGTAGAAAAGAAGCCTGAGAAACCCCATGCAATTCTTTAAGAAGGAAATGGGCATGCATTTTTAGGAAAAGCCTGAAATATAACACTAACAGGTTTATGATTTTAGTAAAGTAGATGTTTGCTGTTCTAAAAAATAAGATTTAGGGCTAGCAGAGTGGCTCAAGTGGTAAGAGTACCTGCCTAGCAAGCGTTAGGCCCTAAGTTCAAACCCCAGTACCACCAAAAAAAAAGAAAAAAGAGCTGGGCACTGATGGCTACTCAGGAGGCAGAGATCAGGAGAATCGTGATTTGAAGCCAACCTGGGCAAATAGTTCCTGAAACCCTATCTTGAAAAATCCCTTCACAAAAAAAAAAAAAAAAGAAGAAGAAGAAGAAGAAAATCACAGTTTGAAGCCAGCCCAGTCAAATAGTTCACAAGACCCTCTCTCTAAAAACCCCTCACCAAAAAAAAAAAAAAAAAATAGGACTGGTGGAGTGACTCAAGGTAAAGGCCCTGAGTTCAAGCCCCAAGACCGCAAAAATAAGAAAAAGAAAAAAGATTTTTGTTGCTAATGTTAAGTTTGGATTTTGGATTTTTTTTTTTTTTTTTGTCAGTTAGCAGTACTAACTGAATAGAATTCTAAGGACATTGAGAAGAATTTGAATTGAGGAGAGTTAGCAAACTTTTAGCTAGAATATGAGCAAAGACAGAATAATGACTCCAGAGCCTTCATTCTTTTTTTCCTCATAGTGCTGGGAGTTAAACCCAAGGCCCTGAGCATACTAGGCAAGTGTGCCACTACTCAACTACACATCCAGCACCAGAGCCTGCATTATTAACTACTTCACACACTGCCTCAAAAAGAACTCACAGAAACCAGCTGTGTTGGTGCTCACCTGTAGTCCCAGTTACTTGGGAGGTAGCGGTCAGAAGATTACTTGAGCCCAATTCAAATCCAGCCTGGGCAACATAGTGAGAACCTGCCTAAAATAATGATGATGACAAAGAAATAAACAAAAATAATTTAAAAAAAAAAATTCATAGTTCACATCTAAATTCTGTGAAAACAGCTCTTAACACTAACTAGGTCTTATCATTGGAAGAACAAAGGAAGGGTAATTAGGACATTGCTCGTGAAGATGCTAGGATGCACAGGTCTGGATCCATTCATTCAAACCTGAAACCAAGGACTATTTTCTATTTGATTTTATGTTCCAGGTGCCTGGTATGCTGCAGGTATAAAAGTTATTATCACAAAGCCTCTGTTTTCTTCCAAGCTATCAGCTGTTCCTTTTTTCTTCATTGTTCTTCCAAGCCAGCTTAGTTTCCACAGCCCACCACCATCCTAAGCCTCCTTTAACGCTGTCTTCATAGCTTACCTATCTGGCAACACCCCTACTGTAGTAGGGTACAGTTGCAGACACAGTTGTCTTACTGTATGAAAACCACACAGATAGAGAAGGGGGAATAGATTCTGGTCTAAAGGATACAGAAGAAGGAACTGGGTCCCAAGCATTGTTGGCTAGGTCAGCAAATACAGACAAATACTGAACTAACTGCAGGCCCAACTTTCCTCCACTCCACCAAACTGTATTGTAATGATAAGATACTTCCTCCTTTTCAAACTCCAGTAAGATCACATCGAGAAAATGACAAGATGCAAGGAACAGGAATAGGAAGAAGGCAGGAAAAGACATGAAAGACAGACGCATTAAGTGTAAAAGTGGAGGGGTGGAATAAAATAAAAATTAAAAAAAAGTGGAGGGGTGGGATATAACTCAGTGGTAGAGTGCTTACCTAGTATGTGCGAGGCCCTGGGTTCAATCCCAAGCACTGCCAAAAGGCAAACATTGGTACCAGTCCCCAAGACCAGTACTTACTTGATTGCCACATACTTTCTTTCAGTTGGGTCCCTTCAAAGTCCTCTAAATAGCTAATATTTAAGTGTTTCATTAATTGCCATTACCTATCTGACAACAACCCTACCCTGGTAGGTTACAGCTGCAGACAACAGAATCCACTGTAGCTAGGTGAAGCAGAAAGAGATTTATTGCAGGTATCACAGAGCATCCAACATTATTGGAAACACTTCACAAACAGGCTTTAGCAGAACTTCCAGTAACAACTCCTAACCACCAAAAACACCAACTGTGCCATTATCAAAAAATGGCTGGGTGTGTGCTAATGCCTGTAACCATAGCTACATGGGAGGCATACGTAGGAGGATCACAATCCGAGACCAGCCCAGGCAAAAATATAAGACCTTATGTGAAAAATAACAAAAGCAGAAAAGAACTGGGGGCATGTCTAAAATGGTAGAGTGCTTGCTTAGCAAGTGCAAGACCCTGAGTTCAAACCCAATACTGAAAAAAAAAAGAAGAAAAAAAAAAAGTAAGTTATGGAGGGAAGGAAGGATGAATGGAAGGAAAGATGGATGGATTATGGCTATCACTGCAGGAAGCCACCAACCCAGGAAACTGTTGACTGCAGAAACTGACTGTTAACTGCCATATTCGTCAGCAAAGCTAGATGCCTCATACCCTCCTTCTCTTTACATTTAATTCTGCTCCACATTAAATCTCATCTCAGGAGCAAGGCAATCTAGGATATAGTCTTTGGCTTTCTAGGCTGGAACATGTGCTTAGCAAGCCATATTCACAGTCCTTGCCAAACATGAATGGGTTTTCTCCATGCACACAGTAAGCAGCCTGATGTGCTGGGGAAAATTTTTTGCTCTGTTTTGCTTTTTATGAGAAAGGCTCTCATAGCCCAGACTGGCCCGGAACTTGCTATGTAGCCCAAGCTGGTCTCCTGCTTTACCACCTTAGTGCTGGGATTACAGCTGTGCATTACCACGTCCAACTTAAAAAAAAACCGAGGGCTAGGCACAGTGGCTCAAGCCTGTAATCCTAGCTACTCAGGAAGCAGAGATCAGGAAGTCTGCAGATCAAAGTCAGTCAGGCAAATAGTTCATGAGACCCTCTCTTGAAGAAGCCCAACACAAAAAGGGGTGGTTGGAGCAGTTGAAGCAGTAAGAGTGCCTGCCTTGCCGGCGTAAGACCCTGAGCTCAAACCATAGTGCCACCAAAATAAATAAATAACCAACACAAAAAGGACCAATAAAGTACCTCAAGTGGTAGAGCACCTGCCTGGCAAGCATGAGAACCTGTGTTCAAATTCCAGTACTGGAAAAAAAAAATTGAGATGGGGTCCTCCCATGTTGCCCAAACTGTACCTGGCAATCCTACATTTCTCTTATATAAATTCATTCTCCCACTACTGCACTGACTTTTAAATCTTCTGCAATATTCACAAATCTCTGGCCTTGTTTTACTCTACAGTCTTACACCTTCCTTTACAGAGAAAATAAAACCATGACACGGGAGCTAATTTTCAATACCAATCATAAAACCTACATCTACAGCCTTCATTTCCTTCTTTCCTTCTGTTAAATGGAAAAACTGTCCGTCTTCCTCAAGCTGATCCCCCCTGCCTATACTTTGGATCCCATCCACTCTTATGTTCTCAGAAATCTTATACTATCAATAACCCAATTTCTCTCTGATACATTTAACTTCTCCATTGCTCTCTCAAGTGGATCCTTGCTAGCCCTCATCCCCTTCAGTGCCTTTCTGTCCCTTTTCCTTTATGGAGGTACTAGGGTTTGAACTCAGGGCCCAAATGCTCTACCACTTGAGCCAAGCACACAGCCCTCCATTTCTATTAACATCCACGAGAAATATGGTCTAAATTGATTTTCTCCATCTCCTTGCTCAAATCTGGTTTCTAGGACCATCACATCAATAAAATAACTATTGCTAAGTTTACCACAAGCTCTACAAAGATATTTTTCAATCCTATATTATTTAAATTCCAAGAGCTTCTATCACAGACCACTTCTTTGCTTCTAGGACATTTTTTTGGGCCCTCCTCTCTATCTCTTCCTTCTGTTTCTCCTGTAGGTTCATTCATATGTTCTTCCCCCAATAAATATTGAAACTACTCAAGGTCCTAACTTAGTTGATTACACCTATGGCTTAATTATCACATATGTGTAAATTATCCCCAAATTTATATTTCCAACACAAATTTCTTCTGAGTGCCAAAGATGTATTTCAAACTGCCGCCGGGATGTCAGCAACGACCATTCCCCACCACATACACACACAATCACAAAGAATAAAAAACTGGTCTGTAGTCATCCAATGTCTGTAGCTCAGTGACTAACACCACCACCTACTCAACTACCTAAGCTGGAAACCTAGGAGCTCTGATTCCTGTCTTGAATCCATCACCAAATCCTACCCATTTCACCTCCTCCATGCCTCTAACATCTAATTCTCTACAGTTCCAGCACTATCAGTCCTGCTGACATCTCTGACCAGGATCACGCACATCCTAACGGGTCTATTTGCACTACGGCTCCCTTCATCACTCCAACCTGTTCACACCAACCACTAAGCCTGTGGGATGAATTCACTTCCCCCACAGGAGGGAAAGCTCTCAGTTGTTTCCTAACAACTTTGAAATAAAAGTTACAAATTCCTGCAGGTATGATCTTTGCAGCCTCCAGCTTCATCTTGCACCACACTCCCCTTCGTTCTTTCTATATGGGCCACACTAGCTCTTTGTGTCCTTAATCATTTTCCTCCCAACTCACAGGTGACCTCTGCACGTGCTGTTCCGTATGGAACGTTCTGCCATCCCCTGTTCGCCTAATTAGAATTCTTCCATCAGATACCTGCTCAGGCCTCGTCTCCTTATTTCAGACACGCAGCATCAGGTACCTCCTCTGCCTAGCACTTCCATTATTAGAGAGATAATTAACGTCTGTTTTACCCCAGCTCTAAACCCTCAGATCACGAGGTCTGTAAACATTGTGCCCCCCAACGCTCTGCACTATACGTATCACACGATCGAAGAAGGCCCGGTACACAGTTATGAGTCTCAGATTTTTCAACAAAATTGTGCTCTGGAGGAGCCCAGCATTTCCTCCATCACTGTCTCTCTCAGGGACATGGATTTGGACTGCAAAATCCGTGGCAAAAACAAGTCGGCCTCCTCAGCCAAACGGAGCACTGAAGGAGGCTGGGAAACAGGCTTTCTCCATGAAAATTTCGGGCACAGAGCTGGGCAGTAAGCGGCTGGGAAAGAAAGTAGCTGCCTAGGGCCAACAGCCGCAGCGTCTGAGTCCCGACGCCAGCGACCTCCAAACTCTGCTCGTGCGGCCAAAGAGACCACTTACCAATGCTGGGAACTCGGGGGCCCGCCTCCCGCCCCTTGCTATCACCGCCTTCGGGAGAGAACAGCAGGTTCAGGCCGCACCACTGTGGCGTCGCCTCCAGACACGAGCAGTCACCCACCCCGACTCGTCCTCATACTTACTCCGCATCTGCTCTGGATTGCCCAAAACGCCAAGCCCACTCCGCGCTTCGCACCCACAAGACACAGCGCGCCTAGGAGGGACACCAGCTCTGCCCACCAATCCTGGACTCGCTCTCGTGACGTCAGAAAGATTTGCCCAATAACATGAGATTACCCAGAGGGCGGTACAGAGAAGAATGTTGACATTCGATTGGTTTCTCTAAGCCGGAAGTTCTGGAGGAAGGACTAAGTCGGAGCCAATGGTGTGACGCCTGAGGCTGCCGGCGCGGTCAGTGGAGGCGCTGAGCGGAGCTGCTGCCGCCATGATAGAACAGCAGAAGCGCAAGGGCCCGGAGCTACCTCTGGTCCCCGTCAAGCGGCAACGGCATGAATTGCTCTTGGGAGCGGCGGGGTCGGGCCCCGGAGCCGGGCAGCAGCAGGCGACACCGGGAGCTTTGCTGCAAGCGGTAAGTAAAGAGGCAGGGGGCCTTCGGCCTGCAGCTCATCTCACCCTCCTCTGAGTGCTGTACCGGGAGATCCAGCACTCCGGGGGCGGAACGAGAGTGAACCTGAAATTAAAACAGATAACACTTTTTAAAAAGCACCCAGTATCTTGTGTATGTTCCGTACACTTCTGCCTTTCTGTCGCCCTGCGAGGTACTTTGAGAGTTACTTAAAATCAGGACCCAGTGTTCCGCATTCTAAATCATCCTGGGATTCAGCATAAAACAGACGTTAAGAAAAGCTGAAAGAGTGGGTGAATTAGTGAATGAGTGAGGGAAGCAAGAAAGGAATGTTTTTGGCTCACTTTGGGAATTTGGGCAAATTGTTTTTCCCATTACCTCTCCGCGCTAATATTATTAACAACTAACATTTATTGACTTGTAAGTATATGAAGTCTCCATTAATTTTGGCAATAACCTGTTAGGAACGTTATTTTCCCGTTTTGTAGATGGAAAAACAAACTCTTAATTTAGTGATAAGTTTTGAATCCTACTTCAGGCTCCTAATTACATTTGTTGTAAAATACAGTGGTCTCCTACCATGCTGTTAGGCTCAGATTAGAAACTATATGTGCTCTCAACTACTCAACCCGCCTGCCAGCAAGTCCTGCAGCCATCCTCCTCAAAATGTCCAGATAAGCTGGGCAGGCAGCCTGTAGTTCCAGCTACTGGGGGAGGCTGAGGCAGGAGGACTGCTTGAGCCCAGGAGTTAGAGGCCAGCCTGGGCAACATAGCAAGACCCTATCTCAAAAAAAAAATAGGGAGTCTGAGGGTTGAAAGTTTGAGGCCAACCTGGACTACAGAGTGAGACCCTGTCCAAAAAAAAAAAAGAAGAAAGGAAGACATATAGAAAATATATGCAGAATTCTCCACTAGCCATTTTTGTTAAGGGTTCCTTCAAGATAGCATCTCAGGAACTATTTGCCTGGCCTGGCTTGGAACCTTGATCCTCCTGATCTCTGCCTCCTGAGTAGCTAGAATTACTGGTGTGAGCCACTGGCACCCAGCTTACTACTACTTCTATCACATCCATCACTACCTCCTGATCTAAGTTATTATCTGGCATTATTGCAGGAGAAACCTAACTGGTATTCCTGCTTCTGTCCTTGTATCAATAATCTATTATTTATCTAGCAGCCAGGAGAATCTTCCTAAACGTTAGACCATATTACCCTATACAGAAAACTCTCCAGTGGCTTTTCATTTCATTCATAGTAAAAATCAAAATCCCTGTAATCATTTCCTGTCATTACCTCTCTGATCTACCAGTTTTCCATTGCTCACCCTATTCAAGGCATACTGATTTACATGCTCCTGCCTCAGCAATTGTATTTGTTGCTCCCTCTGCTGCAGTACTCTTTTTCCAAGTGTCCACATGGTTCACACACTCAGCTCCTTCCAATTTTTGTCCTGATACTACTGGTTCATCAAGACCATCTTACTTTAAATTGCAGCACCCTGTACTCTGGGACCCATACTCCTAGCCTGTGTTTGTCCATGATGCATACCACTATCTATGGGTTTTACTTGTTTTCTTTCTCCTTACCAGTCTCTCCCACTTTCCTGCTAGAATGCAAGCTCCATTATTTGTTTTGTTTTACCAGTACCTAGGACAGTGCCTGGCACGTATCTCTTAATGAATATACTACATGAGTATGATTAAAGTACGTTATACGCATGTGTGAAAATATTATCATGAAACCCATTATTTTGTACAACTAGTACATGCTGATAAAAATAAAATAAGTAAATAATCTGGGAGCTACCAAAGAGATTGGAGAGCTAGGAACATGGCTGAAGTGGTAGAGCCCTTGCATAGCAAACCAAGCTCTGGGTTCAATCCCTAGTATGGGGGGAAAAAAAATTGAGGATTATACGTAGTACATTTGTTCTTCCTATTTAACAAGTATGAAAATCAGCCCAGATTTAGCTGAATTGCCAAGCCTACGCTTAATGTTCAAAACTATAATCAAAACTTTGCCAACTGAGCCTAGTGATTCACGACTATAAACCCAGCAGCCCAGAATCCCAGAACTCAGTAAGCCAGCAAGCTTGAGGCCAAGTTGGGCTTCATAATGAGACCCTGTCTTTAAAAAAAAGAACAAAACTGTGCCTAATAATCTGTATGCTGCAGGGTTGTTGGGAAGGCCCCTTCATTCATTCATTAAATGAGCCAGAGACTAGGAAAAGTGTTGAATGACACAGGCAGGGTCTTCACACTTGCAGAGCTTTATTTCTGTAGGGGAAAGGACAAAATATGTGAACAATTACGTGAGGAAGATAATTTCAGGTAGTGATAAATTCTGTGAAGGGCTATAGTGGAATTAATGGAGGGAGGGGTTGCATGCTACCTGAGTTTGAGTAACTTTATGAAGAGGACATATTTGAAAGAAACCAAAACTAGGGAGAAGGACTCTTGTCAGGAACAACTTTTAGGTTTAAAGATCCTGAGGCAGAAATAAATTTGATGTGTTGAACAATCAAATGTTGGCAGCGGAACAAGTGCAGAGTGAAGGAGTAGAGTCAGTATAACTGGTAGCTACTAGACTGTCCAGGAGAGTAGCAAATTAGAGGTATGAGATACATGAGGAAAGCTGCCATTGTGTAACTCACTTGAAATCCACTCAATCATTGTTTGCATTGTTTGGTCTTTTTACTCCATTCTCCATCCCCCATTTTTGCAGCCTCCTTTGCCTGTATGTCTTGACTGCCTCATATTTCTCTTGTGTTTAGGGACCTCCAAGATGTTCCTCCCTTCAAGCCCCCATTATGCTGCTCTCAGGACATGAAGGAGAAGTATACTGCTGCAAGTTTCACCCCAATGGATCCACCTTAGCATCTGCAGGATTCGACCGACTTATATGTGAGGCACTGTTTTTTTATCTGGAGTAATTGCTTTCTGCATCTACATCAGCAACATAAATAACATGGGTAACATGCTAAAATCAGGGCATAAAAGTGCTGATTGCTCATTTGGGTGTAGAACTCAGGCTCCATGTGGTAAATGCAAAAGGAAAGAACTATTTTGCAGGTTGGAAAGTGATTTGCTGTGGTTGGAAAATATATTCTCCATGGAAGAAATCTTGAACTAATTTAGCAGAACGAGCAATCTAGGTTTAACAGGTTCGTGGAGTTATGAGGAAAGGAGGGATCTGAGGCCCTCCTTGATCCACACTCATAGTCCTAGCATATGAGAAGAAAAGAGGGGATCCTAAAGAGGATCACTTAGATACTCTGCCTGGACATCATTAATTTCTGCTACCAGATTTCTCAGCTACTAATTGGGAATACTCATATTTGAAAAAAAAAGTAGAAAAATGAGATTGGGGCTGTACCTCAATGGTAGAGTACTTGCCTAGCATACACAAGGTCCTGAGTTCCATCCCCAGTGCTACCCCCAAAAATAAATAAATAAATAAAAATAAAATAGAAAACTAACTTGGAGGAAGTCATGAGAAAAAGCAAGAGAGAAAAAGGTAGTAAGATAATAGAAGTGTCTGACTTCTGGCTTCATTTCCTCAATTATGAGATAATCATATTGACTCTTTCTCCATTAATTCTGCACTTCTGGATGGGTGATACTTGTCTTCACTGCCTAAAGGATATTTTAGTTCTATGATCCTTATACTAGTGACCAAGCATCTGAAAGGCTGGGGGATCTTTGTAAAACATCCATGGATTACTGATGTGCTTAATTTCTCTTTTTCTTTATTTAAAAAAATTTTTTGGCAGCATTGGGGTTTGAACTCAGGGCTTCACACTTAATAGACAGACGCTTCTTACTGCTTGAGCCACTCTACCGCTCACCTGCTTGAGCCCTTTTTTATGGTGGGTTTTTTGAGAGAGGGTCTCAGGAATTATTTGCCCCTGGCTAGCTCCTGAGTAGCTAGGATTATAGGTGTGTATTTTTGTTGTTGTTTGTTTGTTTTTGTCAGATTCTGACTGTATAGCTCAGTCTGGTCTCAAACTTGAGATCCTCTTGCCTCAGCCTCCCAAGTGCTGGGATTACAGGCGTGCACCACCACCCCTGTTTGTTTGTTTGTTTGTTTTAACCAAAGTGATTGTAAAGTTTATTAGGAAAGAAACACACTTGCAATAGATTGAAAGCACGTTGTCATTAAAATGAGAATGAGAACAACCCACTGCTGCTTCTTATGGGCTTAATTTCATCAAACTAGAAACAGTTTTGTTAGCAGAAAAATAACTATGGTTTTTATATTCATATGTATTTATCTTATGTGTATATACATAACACTCAGCCAACTTCAACCCTTGCTAGATCAAACTCACTGAGTCTAACAATTGTGACAGCTCATTTACTCCAGCACCTGGTGTGTAGTAGGTACTTAGTACATGCGAAATGAATACAGAATCATTGGCATACAGTCCTTGCCAGGTGACCTTCAAGTTGTAGCTTCCTAGCTTTTCCAAAAGCCCCTTATTTTTCAATCTGCTTGTAGACTCAAACAAGCAGTAGTAGTGTCAACTTTTTTTAAATTACCAGAAAAAATTAGAAATTTCAAAAATTATGTACACCTTTTTGTAAAATCCACAGTCTTTCAAGGGAATATAATTTCAGAAATAATTGTTCTTTTAAATTTACAAATTACCTTTGTAAGGACAATACTGTGTTTTCTTTTGCCTAGTAATGCTTACAGAAACCCTGTCTCCCTAACAGTGTTGTGGAATGTCTATGGTGACTGTGATAACTATGCCACATTGAAGGGCCACAGTGGAGCAGTGATGGAACTGCATTATAACACAGATGGCAGGTGAGTATTCTGCATAATAGAATGACAACTGCTTTCCAATGAATTCTTCTTAGCATCTCTGTCACCTTTTGTCCTTGAGTTTCCTCTTCCAGGAAACCATGCTGTGAAAAACTGCTACATGGCTGAATGCGGTCACAAATTCAGTCACTCACGCCTGAAATCCTCGAAAAAAAAAAGGGTTGGTAGAGTGACTCAAGGTGCAGGCCCTGAGTTCAAGCCCCAGTACTGCCAAAAAAAAAAAAACTGCACATTTTGGCCAGATGTGGTAGGTAGTACAGGCTTGTAATCCTAGCACTCAGGAGGCTGAGGCAGGAGGATCACAAGTTCAAGGCCAGCCTGGGCTACAGAGACCCTGTCTCAAGGAAAAAAGAAAGCATTTCTAAAATCAGTTATAACTTAGAAATTATTCTCAGATGCAAAACAAAAACTTTGGTTTTTAGACAAAGGATTGGAATTAGTATATTGGATCCAGTTTTGTCACAGTCTGTGTTTTTTTTCCTTTCGGTACTGGTGTTTGAGCTCAGCCTACACCTTGAGCCTCTCCACCAGCCTTTTTTTGTAAAGGTTTTTTTTGAGATAGGGTCTCACGAACTTTTTGCCTGGGCTGGCTTCGAACCGTGATCCTCCTGATCTCTGCTTCCTGAGTAGCTAGGATTACAGCCATAAGCTGCCAGCACCTAGCTCTGTTTTACCACAGCAGCAAGTTACTAAACATTTCCAAGTGAGAGAATGTTGTATGTATAAAATGTTAACTATCTCAAATGAGGAAAAGACTGAGAAAACTGCTATATTAGGTGTGTGGTGTGTCATGGGATTCACAAAGGAAATTTTTTGGTTGACCTTATACCTGAATGTAAAGCATGAATAGGATTTCTATAAGTAGGACAAGGCATTCCAGTATCATGTGCTAGCCTGGCAGAGCACAGTAGGCCAGTGAGGAAATTTTTTGGTTGACCTTATACCTGAATGTAAAGCATGAATAGGATTTCTATAAGTAGGACAAGGCATTCCAGTATCATGTGCTAGCCTGGCAGAGCACAGTAGGCCAGTGATGTGGAAGAATTTAGAACATTCTGGCAAGTGGGAAAGATAGATTGTTATTGTTTATATTTGCTTATTTCTTACATGTTCTTCTTCTCACCTTGTAGTATGCTCTTCTCAGCATCCACAGATAAAACTGTGGCAGTGTGGGATAGTGAAACAGGAGAGAGGGTTAAAAGATTGAAGGGACATACCTCCTTTGTGAATTCCTGTTACCCTGCCAGAAGGGGTCCCCAGCTTGTCTGTACTGGCAGTGATGATGGTACAGTTAAGGTAGGTACTATCTGCGTTGCAGTTTAAGGTGATATAATGTGAGCTTACCTTGCCTTCCCACCTGTACTGTGCCCTACTCTGCACAACTTAGTTTTATCAGCTGTTTTCCAAAATAAACACTTGAAATTTTAGACCATTTAAAATAATACCATTCAGAATAACATAAAAGCCATACAATAAATTGCTACTTAAAATAAAATGAACCATATAGATTTGATTCTTGGCTCAGCTGTTAATTGCATGACCTTGAACAATTCACTTTTCTGAGCTTCAGTTTTTAATCTTCAGAACAGTAACAGTAATATAAATGCCATACAGAGTTATTGTGAAATTAAAGATACACAAAAAGCTTAGTAAATTGTTTCATTAACCCAAGATGGGAACGTATAATCCAATAGCTTCTTACATGTCTGCATATTAGAATCACCTGAAGAACCTGTTAAACGTACCTAATACTCTAGCGATGACCCAGTTTCAGTTTATTGAAAATGTATTCCCAGGCTGGTGGAATGGCTCAAGTGGTAGAGCATCTGTCTAGCAAGCATGAGGCCCTGAGCTCAACCCCAGTACTACCAAAAAAAAGAAAGTGTATTCCTTTCCTAATAAACTTTACTATCACTTTCACTACAAACACACACACACCAAAGGGATAGATGTGGTGATACATGTTTATAATCCCAACATTTGCACTTGGGAGACTTAGACAAGGATGGCAGGTTCAAAGCTAGCCTGATCTATATAGTGAGACCCTGCCTGTCTCACAAAAGAAAATACCCAGCTAGCCATGGTAGTGCATGTCTATAATCCCAGCTGCTTGAGAGGTGTGGGCAGAAGGATTGTGAGTTTAAGGCCAAAGTTATCCAGGCCCTATCTCAAAAACAACATAAAAGAAAAACCAAAAAACATTCTGGTCCATTGGATCTAGAATGGGTAAAAGTGTTCAAGTGATTTCTTATAGCAGGTCTGATATTTTAGAAACCACTGATAGCATCCAGCTACATCATTTTAAAATAAAATGAGGCCTAGAAATACCAAGTCTTCTCAAGGCCTGCAAAGACAGACACACTGCTTTGTAGTATCCACCATTTTATTTTTACTTTGTAACTAATTTTTGATTCTGGGTTGTATTTTAATGATTGAACAGGAGGACTTCAAGGGAGTAGTACACCTGAAAAACAATACTAAACTTGTGGCTGTTAGTTTCTTACTTTTTTTTCTTTGGTGGTGTTGGCAATGAACTTCATGAATGGGAGGGAAGTGCTCTACCTCTGAATTATGCCCCAGCCCTACTTTTTTAAAAGAAAAATAAATTTTTAAATAAGGAGATAATATTGACAGATTATGTGCTTTGAGGTAGTTCTTTTCTTTTTTCTTTTCTTTCTGAATGTTATTTTATGCTTAGTTGCTTGAAGCCCTCTTGATGCTTGGCAAGGAGGAAAGTCTGTGGCTTAGGACTTGTTTCTAAGCCTAGAGCTGTAACGGAGGTCAGCTGTGGTTGGAGAGTCTTAATAACTATTTGCTCATAGGTATAGAAATGCCCTGAATTTTGTTAACAAACAAATTTACTCCTATTTATCTCCTTTCTTTTCTCTTTTCCTATAAACATGTTTATTTATTTTTCTGTCTTTTTTTTTTTTCTTCAGGACTGGGGATTGGATTTAGAACCTGTATTAAGCATTCTGCCATATTTCATTTTTAGTTTGTTTTTCAGATAGGGTCTCAAGTTAACTTTTCCTAGGCTGGTCTCAAACTTCAGTCTTCCCACCTTTTCCTCCAGACCACAAGCCTACACCACTATACCTGGTTTGTTTTGTTTTGTTTGCTGTGCTTGGGATTGAACCCAGGGCTTCTCATATGCTAAGCAAATGCTCTGCCATTTGAGCTACATCCCAGCCCCTGGCTTTGTTTGTTTGATGGGACTGGAGTTTGAGCTCAGGACTTTGCTTGCAAAGCAGGCACTCTTCTGCTTGAGCCACACTGCCGGTCCATTTTGCTCTGGTTATTTTGGAGATGGGGGTCTCGTGAACTATTTACCTGGATTGGCCTCAGACTGCAATCCTCTCGATGTCATCCTCCCAACTACCTAGGGTTACTGGCATGAGCCACCAGCTCCTGGTTCTCCAGCTTGTTTTTGAGATAGGGTCTCACTAACTTGCTGGAACCAAGATCTTCCTGCCTTCTTCTCCCAAGTAGCTGAGATTACAGACATATATCAACCCAGCCTTTTCTTTTTCTAGTACTAGAAAAGAGTTTTGTCTGTCCTTACTATCTTCCTTTATTTCAGCTTCTTTTCTTCTCCCTTTATTAAATATGAATTCAAGCTGGGTGTGGTGGCACATGCCTGATTTCCCAGCTACACAGGAGGTGGAGGCAGGAAGATTGATAGTTCAAGGCCAGCTGGGCGAAATATAAACAAAAGGTTTGAGGGGCCTGGTAGGGTGGCTCAAGTGGTAGAGTGCCTACCTAGCACCCCAGTACCACCAAAAAAATTTAAAAAAAAGAGCTGAGGACTCAAGTGGTAGAACTCGTGCCTAACAAGCGAGAGGCCTGGGGTTCTATCTCTATCTCCAGTTACACACACACACTCGAAAAAAAAAGAAAAAAACAGGAATTGGAATAATCGTTTCAACTTTTTTACTTTTCATGGGTAATATGTGGTATCATCTAAAAATGATTGCTTTTGCTTTTTAGCCAGTTCCTTATTTTGAATTTTAGTGTTGTATTTATTTTAAGGCATCATTGGACAACTTTTTACATATACTTTTGGGCTCCTTGTCAATGCTTTGTTGCCATTTTTCTTTTACCAGGTTTGTAGGCACAGGAGTTGAACAATCTCATTTAATCTAAGAGGGGGAACAGTCATGTTGCTTTTTACTTGTAAAGGTTCTCAACAGGAAGCAAAGGTTTCGAATGATAGCTGTATTTTCTTTCTAGAGGTGATGGTCTGAGTATGATCCACACCAGAAGTTTTCAGACTTTTTTTTGCTGCTAGGAATCCAACCCAGGGCCTTGCACATGCTGAGCATGTGCTGTGCCACTGAGCTTCTCCCTGTTTTTATATACATATTCATTGCTCCCTTTCTACTAGCTCATTCCTAAAGCTAGTATGTAAGCCAAAGAAGAAAGGTTTGGGAGCTGGAGGGGGGAGTGGGCTGAAGTGACCCAGAGTAGAATGTCAGAGCCCAAGTAAGAAGAGGAAAGCATCTGCCCAGGGAGGGGCAGATTATTGTAGGAGTCAGAGAGTAAGGAGGACACCCACACAACACAGTAGATAGCCCAATTGGGGTAATTTGAGGGTGAGGAAGGGGAACAGACCAACATGAAACGTCAGTGGCCTAGTGGGGGGAGGGGCATCAGACTGAGCTGAGGCTGTCCACACAGGGTGGAAACAGTTCAGTGTAAGGAGTTTGAGACTGAACATGATGAGATTGGCATCCCTGCAGAAGGGGGCCAGAGTAGAACAACAGGAGTGTCCCAGTTGGATGAAGAAGGAAAACCAGATAGGGTCAGCCCAGAATGGGACTCAATTCAAACAAGGAAAGAAAAATATGTATAGTGGGAGGCAGATTTCTCACTGTCATGAGAATGGAGTTTCCAATGCAAAAAAAAGGGAGAGGGAGAGAGCATTAATTAAAAAAAAAAGAAAGAAAGAAAAGTGGGGAGAGAGCTAAAATGAATCTTGTGGTATTGGATTCAAATTGGAACTCTCAGTGTGAACTCATGACATTTGGTACATAAACTGAGTATATAGAGTAAAGAGACATGACAACTAAATTTAACCCACAATTCACACTGAATCCTTGTGCAATTTTTTAAAAGGCATAAAAGTATTCATAAGGCCGTGGGTTGGTTTCTAGCACTGAAGAACAAACAAAACCCCAAGATCTGGGCAGTAGGTATACTTACTGTTATTGGGATCATGTTGCTCCTAAGCTTTCTCAGTGTATAGGGATACAACATCTGTATACTTAGGTATGTACATCCCTATACACTGTTACAACTACATCTATTTTTTCCTACATTGAAAGGTGATCTGGAACTAAAATTTGTTATTTTAATCAAACATTAAGTGGCTACTGTACCTTTTAGAATAAAGACAGATTGGATCTGGGCATGAGGACGCATACCTGTAATACTAGCACTGAGAGCTGAGGCAAGAGAATTGTGATTTTGAGGCCAGCCTGGGCTACATAGCAAGATCCTATCTCAAACAACAAAGACAGAGATTGTTGGGCCTGTGTAGAGAATTCTGAGATAGATCGCAGATCGTAAGATCTTTGAAGCAAAGATAGTAAGACTCACAAGATATGTGAGAGCCAAATCATAAAAGTCTTGAGTTCCTTGGGCTGGCGGAATGGCTCAAGCACTACATAAAGTGCCTACCTGGCAAGTGTGAGGCCCTGAGTTCAAACCCCAGTACCAAAAAAAACAAAAGGCCTTGCATTCCAAGCTAAGATGTCTGGACTTGATTCTATAGCAAGAGGGGTTAGGGGGGCGGGGTGTGTCCATAAGAGAAGTGAAACACTCATTTTGGACTATTATCTACAATAGTTGCCTAAGTCTTTTTAGTTCATGTTTCCATGAATAAGTTGGAACTACTTTTCATCCTAAACCATGAGAATTGGGAGAAGAGATATCTTGGCACAGGTCCTCCTGTTTAGACACAAGCCCTTAAAACTTGGAACACAGTCACCCTGTAGTCTTTCTCTTCAGATAAAATGACTCATACTCTTAAAACATTTCCTTATGGTTCTTCTCTAGTGTGTCAGTGACTTACTGAACCATCTCTGGGCTCTTCCTGTATCATCTACACTTTAAAAATGTAGAGCTAAGCTAGGTGTCAGTGGTTTATGCCTGTAATCCTAGCTACTTGGGAGGCAGAGATCAGGAGAATCAAGGTTTGATGCCAGCCCAGGCAACAAAAGTGAGACCTTATCTCAAAAATGCCCAACACAAAAAGGGCTAGTAGAGTGGCTCAAGCAAGCGTGAGGCTGTGAATTAAATCCCAGTACCACCAAAAAAATGTAGAGCTATAAGTTTTGTTTTGTTTTTTCTTAAGTACAGCTGAATTAGCTTCAGATAAGTATGGGGTTCTAGAATTGGTATACCTAATTTTCCTCCCCTGTTTATGCATTGAATAGCCATTAT